AGCATCCTGCCTTATAGGAAGATGTGGTTCAGTGCAGAGTGTGGACTGCATCTTTCATCTAGGATAATCATCATTCTCACCTTTCACACCACGCCAATAATAATAATAATCCTTGCATTTGATATCATCCACAAAATATACAATCAATTCCCTTTGCAGTATATTCTGTGAAGCGCTTTGAGACGTCTCGAAGATTTGATAAGGTGCTATATCAAATGCAAGGATTATTATTATGTAGTATTTTATCACCTGAGCTTGTGCTGGGCAGCCACCACAAGCACAGCCCTGTCTCCTGATGTCTCAATGCCTGCTTTAGCTGTTTGCCTAATGTAGCGAGACGCACGCTGACAGCTGCCAAATCCTGCCAATGCATCCTGTGCCTTCCTCCTCATCACACAGATTTGCAAAGAAAAAAAAGTAAAAGGCTTAATGAAAATATGCTAATCTAATTGGAAATCGTCATTTAAAATTACATCAAGAACCAATCAATACTAATAGCAGACACTGATAAATGTGATCTCAACAACAGAACACACGTTTAATAAAACCCAATCTGCCTCTTTAGTGCAGCACGCCTTGCCCTAATTCATTACTCTGCACCGACAATTAACTCTTAATGGCTTTTTGTCATTTGGAAGAGTGAACGTGAAGATTTAATTAGATCTGAGCAAATGCGATCTGTGTCTCCTCTCTTTAGATCAGGCTGACACAGAAGGGAGGTGGGCCGCTCAGGTCACTGCTATATCTGATTCTGGTCATGGCGACTTGTGATGGTGGTAACAGTATCCAGCTCTGGCCTGTATCACTGTACAATACAATTTATAATCCTGTTTACATGTATACAGCACTTTCACAAGCACAGTCAAAGATGTAGGTTTTAAGACATGTCTTGAAAGAGAGGAGGGAGGGAGTGAATTGGCAACATGCCAGGATGAAGTTCCAAAGTAGAGGCAGAATCACAGGCCATTTGGGTGCTGGAGAGAATATGCAGTGCTGGCCTATATCACAGCCTGTCTGGGTGCTGTGTTCCTTAAAATAGCTTGAGGAGTTCCAGATCCTGCCATTCACTTAGAGCTCCTCAGAGCTTCGATCCTGCTCATCCAGAGACTGTCTGTCAGTGTCAGGGCTCCAGTTATACTACTTGTGGAGGGGAAGGGCAGCACAAGGGACAGTCACAGGGCACTGAGTTCTAGCTCAGTGCATAGTTACTGAACCTCATTACAGTCAGTACAGGTTGGAATGACATGAAATCCTGAAAGCAAATGAAAATTTGTTCCCACGTGAACTCTTAAAGACTTTGTCTGTCACAGCTGGTAGCAGCAATGTTTGTGTGGTGTGCGACAGTCTCCTGTACAACACACACGCTACACTTCCCCCACAGTCTGCAGTTGCAATTCAATTACATTACATTATTATTTTAATTAACCTTTTTTTCCAGTCAAAATAAAAATGTGGTAAATTAAAGAGTCAATAATAATCCTTAAAAGCCCTTGATTTGATATCAAGTCGGGGGTTGGTCCGAATAGGGCTTGATAAGATTTACCATAAAGTAAAGTGTAGCGACTGTGTTTTGCAATAAAACATGGGAGCCAAATCTCGCACAGCAAACATCCCGCAAATGGCTGTGAAGTGAGAGTGAGTTAGGTAGTTTTGGTAATTTGGGTCTGCTCTGAGAGTCTCTGAGCCGTACAGTGTTGTGAATTCAGACACAGCTGAAACCATGAGATTTCTAAAGCATCCAAGGTTAATGGCTTTTACTGATGTTAATTCAAGTCCATTGAGCTTAATCACTCCTCCACCCTTTCCCCCCAAAAGATAGACTTTAACAGAAATTGTTCAAGCAAAACTTGAAGAGAATTAGAGATGATCTTTAAAATGGACATACTCTTGCATCGTAAAATCACTAAACAGTTGAGTAACCAACCTTTCTCTAATGCTCTCAGGATTATATATAGAGGGATGCTTCCCTTTCAGGGAAAGAGTGCACACTCAATTCCACACACAGGGTCTATGTGTAGGTGGCACATCAATGGAGAGATATGTCTGGTTTGGATACTCTTAAGTATGGTGGTGGCTTTGTGAGTGTGCCACTTGACTGACCAAAAAAAAAGTTTAGAAAAGGTGTGTTTCTCCAAACTATAGAAAAAAGCATAAAATATGCTTCCAGCCAGTGACAGACCATATTTACAGGGACGTAAGTACTTAATATTCAACGAAAAATTATTTGTGTATAGAATCATAGAAATTTATAGCACAGAAGGAGGTCATACGGCCCATCAGGTCTGCAGTGGCTCTCAGAGCAAGGTGTTTGTTCAATCCCACTGCTATGTCTTAGCCCCACACCCACTCAAGCCTCGGTCTTTCTCTGGGCAAAAGTCTCTTTTATATTTTGTTCATCTTTGCTATTGAGTTTTGATGAGAGCAGTGGAGGATGAGGTGATTCATCTCTGCTCAGCACTGATGGGGAATAAAACTACCGAGTTTTTAATAGCCACTCTCTTTATTGCTCGTGTGTAAGGATTTCATTTTGTTGATGCCTCCTGCAAGCAAGTAGAGCTAGACCATTCCGGTTGAGAATCACTTATTGGTGCGTGGAAATTATATTTCAAGCCACCCTCTTGCATTTGCATTAAAACCTGAATGATGAGCAGGCTGACAGGTCTGTCAGTTACATTTAATAATTATAATACCCGCATTTTATCTTCCAAATAGTGCCCTGCTTCGTGAACTGAAACACAGAGCAGCCCCACCACAAACACACACACAAACCACCTCAAATAGTTGAGAATGAATTGTTCCAATTGTGCTGATTATCCTGAAAGCAGCCTGAGACGAGTGCTATCTGAGCTGCCAACATAATAACAATAATAATCTTTGCATTTGATATAGCGGTTGTCACGTCTTCTCGACATCTCAAAGCACTTCACAGAATAGACTGTAAAGTGAATTGACTGTATATTTGTGGGTGAAACGCGGCAGCCAATTGCGCACATCAGCGTCCCACAAACAGTCATGTATTGAAAATGACCAATTTATTATTGCCTGTTTTGGAGGGATTATTATTAGGCTCTGTGTGGAGTAAGGAAACTTGCCCAAGGTTTTGCCCCGCCTGGAATTGAATCCAGCTGTCTCGCTTGTAAGGTGAGTGCTCTAACCAAACTGCACAGCATTGTGTTCCTGGAAAGCCTCCGCTGCCAATGAGAGCAGTGCTCGCTGTGCTCCTACAACAACAACAACTTACATGCATATAGCGCCACTCACGCAGGGTAGCGTCCCAGAGCGCTTAACACAGGGGAGAACTACACTGCAGGTTTATAGTGAAGCCCATCCCAGAAAGGAATCCAATACATTAATGAAGATTCAGCAAGAGAGCGAACGAGGGAGGGAGCGAGGGAGTGGGGGAGGGAGGAGGTGTGTGGGGGAGGGAGGAAGAGAGGGAATACCATGGTACCTTGTTTGTGACGAATGGTTTTATTAATGATGGATAAATGGGTGAAAAGGGCAACGTCAAAGCTCTTCCCAGAGGCTCCTGCTGTCTGAGGCTCAGTGCCCAGGGATTGCCAGTGAAGATCGAGGGCCCTGAGGCTCCGGGGAGCCATCCCTGTCCATGGCCGTCTTGCTCTCAGTGAGCTTTAATGAGGGACTAAAGTGATCTTTAAAGGTTAATGGTTTTGAGCATTTTTAGAAATAATTCAAAGTGATGGTACCTCAAGCTGTTTAATGTGCACATGTTATACTCCAGCCCCGATAATCTGCCAGTCACATTGACTAAAAAGGTTATTATGCCCTCCTACCCTGCCCTGCCCTTCTGCCCTGCCCTCCAACCCTGACCTCCTGCTCTGCCCTCCAACTCCACTCCTCATTTCCAAATCATTATGATTGGGGAATGAACTGAAAATACAACAACAAATGATTATAGACCTCTTCGACAACAACCTACATTATTTTCCGCTCTGCGGATTATTTAAACAGAGGAACGTAGGACAAGCGAAGCCCTAGCGTGGCCCGGGAGTCCGGTTTGTAAATGTGCTGCTCGTATTTCTGACAGGGTTGGCAGAAAAGAGCAGGTATATTCCCACAGATATCTAACGTCTGTGCTGCCTCGCTCACTCTCCAGAATTAGCTAGCAAAACGCTCAGCCATCAGGGCACCCCAGTGAGGCTGCTGTTACAGGCAGTGACATTTCTGCTCCTCCCTCAAGGCTCTATGTCTGACCTTGTACCATTATAGCTGCACTGGCCTCTCCGGCAGTTAAATCAAATTCTGCTTCTCTTGGCTGTCGCGTTACCTTTGGGCACAGTGGCCCATGTCACTTGAAAGAGTACACAGCTGAAAAAGAACTGTGATTTTCTTACAGCTCCCAGCAGCTGCAAGGTGAGCTTAGTAAAGTCTGACAGCTGGAAATTACTGCCCAGATTTACTGTACAACCTGCAGCTTGGAGCTGAGCCATAATACAGCTTAATAAACTGAGCAAATGGCAGGGCTGAAAGGTCCAGAATATTGTTTGTCAACGTATTACAGTCTGGTTCAGCCAGTGTATGCAGTGAGGTCCTCCCAGTAATCCTGTGAAGCCTTGACAGCCTCTTTTTAGGAATGTTCAGCCTATTGAGTCTGTTCCATAATTTTCGATGTTGGCAGATCTATTAATGTTCCAATAATAATTAATACCTCTCCCACTCACGTTGCTTTGTGTAAAGAATGCAAGCGGGCGGTGACTGAGGCCCTGAAGGGTTTCAATCTCCCCACAATAGCTCAATGGGGAGAAGCAACATTTGTTGTAATACTTTAATGAGTTTCTGAGTTTATAAGTCTCAGTCTATTAGGTACAGCCATCGATTTCTCTATTCGATATGAATAATGAATTCAACTGGCTGAATCCTAATGACCAGGAATGATGAATCAATACGCACTGTGCTGATTCCATAAAAGACAGACAAATATGAAATCTATAGTTCAATTGCTGGTCTCTCCTCCCAACAGCGTTGTGTGTCTTACTCACCCGCATGCCCAGCTCAATGTTTTCTCCCCCGTAAACCTCCATCCCCGCATCCAGGAGGCCAATCTCCTCAAAGTACTGCCGGTGCACCACAAACGAACAGCCAATCATGGCAGGGGTCCTGGGTGCCGGGAGGAGAGGAGACAGCAGCTGTTAGGGGGATCTTTCCATGAAACAAACATTCCATGAAAATCATTTGACAGAGTCTTTCTCAATCCCAGTCAAACGAAAATATATAATTGCTTGTTGCACAAAGCTGCATACTTCTTCATTTAAGCCCATTTCCCTTTAATGTTTAGTTTTCTTGACAAGCATTTTGTTTGAAAGGGCTCGATCCAAGATTTATGGTGTGTCATAATGGTGTTTAAATATTCAAACCTGATCTGAGCATCAAAGGAAAGGTTAGGTTGCTCCATCACAATAGATTATGTTTAACATTGTTACTTCAGCACGGTTGTGCTCTGGTTCACATGATATTTCTGGTGAAAGCGTGAAGCAAATGTTATTGAAAATAATTTCTGGCGTTAACTCGTGCTCATCAGAAAGGTCCTTTCTTCAATCAATACAATACATTCTTCCTCTTTCTGATATTATGGATTGTATTCCTTTATCACTGTATTTTGTTTGTGTGTGTGTGGGGGGGGGGGATCGCGGGTTCTCTCTATGTCCTCTGCTGCACTTTGTTGACTGGAAACCAGCAGCTCTACCATTGAAGCCTTGGCTGATGTCTAATAGACTGTGTGCCTGTGTTACAGTCCTGCAGGGGAAGCGTGCAACAGGACAGCTTCAGCCTTGCCCTCCGTCCTCTCCGATGATTGGCTTTAACATCTCCACCAGTCTGGGAAAACCTAAATCTGGGAACTTTGTTATTTAACGGGTCAGATATGAAAAGATAGTAAATCAATGCTCGAAGATCTCAATTCCACTGAACGAGAAATGTTGCCACTTTCAATTAATTGCTGCCTATGTAATTTATTTCCTCTGACAACTTGCCAAGAAGACCTCAGAATAAAAGCCATTAGGCAATCAGAGGAACATACGGAGTGTGGTTACGCACCAGTGCCTTTGCGAGATGATAGATGTACTTCAGCGGGGCTGCCCAAACCCCCCAGCCCTCCGCACCCCATTCTGGTTCAGGACCTTTCTCTCATTGCCTCCAAGTCACCTACACACCCGCAAAGATCAATGGGGTATACGTTCTCGAAATAAAGTCTGATAAATTGCACTCCAGCTTGCTGTAAGAGGATAATTTTCTAAATGTATTCATTCTAATTTATATAAGAAACAAATCACCAAGCAGCTTGCGTACAGTAAAGACGCTGGCTGTCTGGATGTTATTGCTTCTATAGAATAATTATCATTTATCTTTACAGCCACTTCCTGCCACCAAGGCCTGCATCAATCCTTCAAGCCATGTGTGAGGGTACAATGGGTGGCAGAGCTTGGCAAAATCCATGGAGTGTTATTTCTCTATTAGGTCTGGTGAGAATCAGTCATTCCACTTTCACACCCCATTCACCACCACCCAACCCTCTCTCTCCCACCTGATGTCGCAGTGACCAGAGGTCCAGGTGTGGTCTGATCAGAGTGCCGTGCATTTCAGATGTCAGACGTTTGTTCAATTCCCTTTTAAAAGTTACTACTTGTTTTGTTTTGGGTCGGTGTCCTGCAGCCTGATAGCTCTCTGCTGTTAGTATGGCCGAGAGTCGCTGCTCAGGTGATTGCGACTGATTTGTTCCGATGATAAGTCTGAAATAAGGCTTCTTACCTGATTGGTGCCGCCTCATCGCCCTTGTCCAGCCAGTCCTGTGGTGGGATAATGTACATACACCATAGGCCCCAGTTATAGCCGTGGGCTGCGTTGGCATATTGCTGCACCTCGAACGTGTTATACTTGATGTTGTCTATGGCTGGCAAGATGATGCGGGTCCGGTCCTCTTTGATTCTGCTGAGCACTGGTTGCACCCTAACAGAGAACGGAAGAGGAGAAGTGGTTAAGTATCAATTATAGGAACAGGAGGAAGCCATTCAGCCCGTCAAACCTGCACTGCCATTGTCTTTGATCCTGGCCAGCCTGTAACTCAGTACCATCTGCCTGCCTTTTCTCCATACACTTTGGTCCTCTAGCTCAGTGGTTAGAGGACACCCAATGCAAGTGAGAGATCTAGGTTCAATTCGCAGCAGGGCAAAATTTTGGGCAAGTTTCCTTACTCTGCACGCCTCTGTTTAACTAGCAGTAACTAAGAATCCGGTTGTTAGTCAATTGGTAGATCGCTTTTCTGGGGGTAATAATTCCTTCAAAAAAAAATAATAAACTGGTCACTTCAATCTCGATTGTTTGTGGGACACTGCTGTGCGCAATCAGCTGCCGCGTGTGCGTGTGAGAGAGATTAACGTTAACCATTCTCAGCCAGCTGTAGTGTTCCACATGGCACTTTTACACGTCCAGCTTTGAAGCAGACAATTCATCTTTTCTCACCAGTTATCTGTAAATTTTCAAATATGCACCAGACCCCAAATTTCACCTCCAATCTGAAGATTTGTGATATTGAGTTTCAGAATGCACAGCAGAGAACATGTTGGTGATGTGCATTTTATCCAATGCTAGAGCTCTTTACAATGCTCTGTGAGTCCAATCAGACCCAGTGGATATTGTGTGGGTGTGGAGTGCAGTGGCAGAACATCAATACCAGCCGATCTTCCTCTTACAGTATTGACAACCTGCCCAGGTTGAACATCCTAGATCCTCTTTATAGTTGCCAATTGGAATGTCATTCATCCTTTAACACTTAAACCTGTGGTCCAGCCCCAAAGATCAAGCAGTTTAATGCAGGAAGAGCCCAGCAGTAAGGAGAGGAGAGGCTGGCAATAACGAGAGGAGAGGCCGGCAATGAGGAGAGGAGAGGGACTACTGGTCTATGTAATTCTCTGAAAGCCTTGTGACTCAGCTCCAGATTGTAGGAACATGAAGAGAGCAGTTTTGCTCATCTCTTGCCTGGTGCTTGTGTGCTTTGAACATTGATGGGAAGAAACACTGTTTATTTTTAGCTGCATTCTCTACTTTCTGATGCAACAAAACGGCCCATTTTTTCAGGCAAACGGAAAGCTAGGCTGAGTTAAATCGCAGATTTATGGTAAAATTTAAGGCTGATAATAAATGACTGGCAGCCCAGCTCCCCAATGCATACAGTCAACATTTGTTTCTCCCTGAATTAAAAGATAAAAAAGTAAAGAAAATTAAATTACCCATAACCCTCCATGTACCTAATCACCAGCCCATCATAAGAAGCAGAACCCGAGGCAGCACTACAATGAGAAGGCTTCTGTCATGTGTGCTCCTTAGCAAGCCTGTTCTATTGAGGGATTCTCCATTCCAGCTGCCTCCATGTGGGGTATATACCTGCTCCTATGCCATTCCTTTTTAAGAAATAACACACATTACACTCTGACAAGGAAATAAATGATCTACATGGTTTGAATTTTCCCAATTGCTGTGTAATACAGAAAAACCTGAGCAGCGTTCATACGGCACGGAGCCAGTCAAAGTCTGAAATATCACATGGCTGAACTCCATCAGACATGAGAAGGTACATCATAATCAATATCCACTCTTCATAGTTTTACAATAGTGAGAGCACCCTGTCAGTTCAAGGACAGGTTAGTAAAAGACTTGGCAGGTCAGATGTAATCACTTATTTGGATTCCATTTTACACCAGAATAGGTCAATTTCATGCTTTCGCACAAATCGATTGTTTGTTAGGCTGAGACAGGAACCTGTACAGCTTGTCACACTACTGGAATCCGGGGCAGAATAATTGAGTGATGGGTTACACTGGTAATTTATCACTTGTTTCCCTGACTCTGATTGTGGTGTGTGCCTCCCATCTGCCCGCAAACACCATGTGACAAGCACATGCCCATCAGTCAGGGCCAGAAGAGGCAAATAGCCGTTTCTTCACAATAGCTGTAGAACGGTCTAACATTGCAGTTCAGTGTCTCCATTACCCACTTAAGCACGAGCTGAGCAGATAAAATGAACGTTTGCAGAAGAGGAATCCTGGACAAATTCACAGATTTACGGTCTTACCTCAATCTTGCTCAGTTTATTAACAGCATTAATGAGACTGCATTGGCTCCCTATTCTTCAGAGGATCCAGTTCAAGATCCTGGTCCTCACCTACAAAGCCCTCCATGGCATCGACCCACTCTACCTCTGCGACCTTCTAACCCCCTGTCAACCCGTCCATTCCCTCCGCTCAGCCGGCTCTGACCTGCTCCACATCCCCGACCCACCCGCCCCACCATTGACAGGAGAGGCTTCAGCCACTCTGCCCCCAACCTCTGGAATTCCACCCCTCAATCACTCCGCCTCGCCTCCTGAAATGCTGTACACTGTCCAGCACCTTGGGATGTCCTCCCGACGTGAAAGGTGCTATACAAATGTAATCTTGTTGTTGTGGTTTTTGCAATGGGACCACTTTCTTCAATATCAAAAAATGGAGCCTTGAAAGATCTTGTGTTGTCCGTTGGTTTGTGTGAGGGCTTTGGGCCAGGCCGGGCCAGGTCAGCGGGGAACTAGTGTGCATTGAGAGTACTCAATACCAGCTACATCAAGCGTAATATCTAAATATCCCGGGCGCTGTCACAGAATTGTTAAGTGTGAAGATGGCTCTGTGCCACAGCATTGTAGAATTGGTTAATTAAGGCTATTTTCACAGAGGTCTGAACTAGTTCCCATTAGCGGGAGAGTACACCTTTTGTGCCAGGGAAACATTAACGTAATTGTCTTTGTACACAGTCCCAGTCCCACTTTGCAAATAAGCAGAACGAGAAGATGAGACATTATTATAATGGATGGAATGTCATTGGAAATGCCAACGAAACAGACACTGATTTATTTGTGTCAGCAAAACCAGAGCTCTATTCACAATCCAGCAAGCCCTACTGCTCCTTGCGAATCTCTGTGCTTGTGTTAATTACAAAGGAGTGAATGCGTCAAAGGATGAAGACTTTTAAAGGCAGATACTGTAACCACCACTCTCTATCTGCACAGCTTTCATTTTAACTCAGGACAAAGGAGAACAGCGCTCAGTAGATATCAGCCAACAGCTGAATTTACCCTGAATAATCCTTGTAAAGAAATGCCGACCTGGTAGCTTGTTGTCTGTCGAGGGTGGGAGGGGCTGTGCTATTTCACATCTTGTATTTCCTAGACCCTCCCACCGCCCCGAGACAGTGAAGTAGCCATGGGGTTCAGGTAACAAGACATAATTGATTTTTCGAAGTCATTGGTTCTGTGCCTATGTGTGTGTGGTGTGTGAGACTGTGTGTGAGCATGTGTGTGTCTGTGTGTGCGCGTGAGACTGTGAGAGCGTGTGTGTGTGCAAGCAATACTTTATACAAGGCAGAGCTATAATCAAATGAATAATCCAAAGACATATTCTAAAAACAGCAAAGCCTTGGCAGATCTCCAATTAAATTATTAATGGTGACTTTCCCCATCGCTCCAGGAGACGTGTAACACTTAGACACTTGATTCGAACAAATTGCCTTTGGAGGCAAACGAACATCCTGAGAAGCTTCATTAATGAACAACAGAACAGAGCTCTGTGTTCACCTCTGTGTGTGTAACGCTTCTCTCCCTGACTCCCCCAGTGCGATGGTGACACAACCCATCAGCGGTTTGCTGGTGTGTCTGCCCCTTGTGACACTAAACACTGATTCACCTCGAACCTCCAGAACCCGTAAAATCACACTCCATATAATATACTTGACACTGACTCCCTTTACATTGCTTTCCCGTCACACAGACTCCCTTACACTGGCTCCACTTACCAGCCAACATTGAACTCAACATGAGCATCAAAGAAGCCGACCACTGGTGCAGTGGCAGCTTTCCAGCCCTGCAGCCTGGCTCGGATCAACCCTTCCCTCTTGTTGTTGTGGACGATCTTCACAAGGCCTGGGTACCTCTGGTTGACATATTGGTCCAAATTGAATTTCAGCTCCACTGAAAGAACAACAGAAATCATAGCTGATAACAACACTCACATGAAACCCTCACAATGGTTCCTCACAACCATTTATCCTTGTTAGGGATTTTCTTTTGTTTTGAGTAGTGACTGACTCTGGAGTGAAACCATCAGTAACAACAGCAACAAAGTTACATTTATAGAGTGCCTTTCACATCGGGAGGACGTCCCAAAGTAAGTTCTATGGTTAAACATTGCTTACTCACACAGTAGTTCCCCACACCAGGACAATCGCTGGTCAGCCTGTATCATTCCCTATCATTTTGCTATCAAAATACTTGAGGTAAATTCAGGATGAGTGGGCGGAATATAAACCAAGATAAAGACTCCAACTTTCCTTCAAACAGCGACAGTCCTTTACACCCATCTGAACCAGAAGGTAGCTGTGACCGTCAGTCACAACACAAGACCCAGCAATCGTTCATCTGACCTTGACCACAGAAACAGACACAGAATTTGGACCAGGGTTAGTTTTTTCTGGGTCAGCCTGGTGTCTAGCACATGCGGAAGCCCATCACCATGCTAAACAGTATCCACACTAGTCTGACATCCACATATGTCTGTCACCTACATGTGAAAATTCCTGGAATTGAGTGGAATGCGCACTTTCTCCCCAGAAAGACACACCCTGTTTAACCTAATTCCAAGAGAGCATTTAGGAGCAGTTTTGGCAAGAGCCAAGGTTTGTTTTACTATTGCCTGAAACACTGGAGTAATGGAATTCCTTACAAAACTCTGTAAGAGCCCTTCACAGTGAGGACGTCTCCAAGCTCTTCACAGGAATTACTGTAGACTGTAGTGACTGATATTTTCTGGTGACAGTTGCAGCCAATTGGTGCACAGTAGTGACTCTCAGACAGCCAGGAAGCCAATGACCAATTTTATCTGGTGACTGTTAGCCAGGACACTAGGAGAGAGAAACTCTTTTCTCTTTGCAAATCGAGATCTTTGATGGTCTCCTGGACAGGCAGCCAGGTTACAGCCAAATGAAATTGAAACTGAAGTCCACTGAAATGGCAGATTGGGTTGTTAAAGAATTCTATGCCTGTATGTAACAAAGAAGTGATATAGAGGTGAGCTGCTATCATGCCCAGCATACGTAAAGCTGCACAGTATTGCTATAAACATGCTATTTACTATTGTCATTGCAGTGAGGAGATTAGAGAGGGTTCATATCATAGAATCATACAGCACAGAAGGAAGCCATTTGGCCCATTGTGTCTCTGCCAACTCTTTGAAAAGAGCTATCCAAATCAATCCCATTCCCCCGCTCTCCCCATAGCCCTGCAAACAAGACCTCCTCAAATAATTATCTTCTCTTAAAAGTTGTTATCGAATCGGCTTCCACCACCCTTTCAGTTGACTTTGTTTGTATAGAAATGGACTTTTATTGCCAAACCTTAGAAACATGTTGTTCCTGTAATGCTCTGCTTATTCTCCTGTTTGTTGCTTTGGTCTCTGTTTTTCTGCATGGCTTGCCATTAAAGCAGGCAATGCTTATCGGATGTAATGCAACAGTGAAGATTTGGATCAGATTAGAACTTGCTTTGTATTGCGTTGTTACAAATTATGCACAGCTTTTAAAAAACATTACCTGTGAAGTATCTTGCAACTGTGAGCATGAGTAATGCACTCTCAGGCTAGGCCGGTCTTTCAATTCTGTGCAATTGGGATCTGATGAAAGTTGGTTTTGTGAATAATGGATTTATTTGTACCGTGGAGAGGCATTTCATCCATGTTCAAAAATAACCCAGAATATATCAGTAAGTGACGCTATCTCGTCCCCTCCTGTCCCCCTCCCCAGCCCCATCACTGGTTACAAAATGCTATGGTTGTACATAAAAAACAGCACTCTTCCTGCCCTCTGCACCCTCTACTGGAAGCATTGTTCACCTGCACTCACCTCCGCCGTACACCATACACGCCTCCATCACACATGCTTCCGCCATACACCACACACTTCTCCGCCACAATCCTCCGCCAGGCACCATACACGCTTCTACCACACACCACGCACACTTCTACCATACACCACGCACTCCTCCACCACACACCACACATGCCTCCGCCACACACCACACACGCCTCCGCCACACACCAAACACGCCTCCGCCACAAAAAGACCTTCTCTTGACCACACTTTTGATCACCTTTCTCCCCCACCCCCATCTCAGGTCCCAGTTGTGTCTATGAAGCACTTTGAGATGTTCCCCCGATGTGAAAGGTGCTGTATAGTAGTAAAGTTGTTGTTGGGCAAGATGTGGAGAGTGTCCAGACACAAGCCCGTGTACTGCAAGAGAGGAGGAGGAGCAGGCAGGAAATCTAACCAGAGGGAAATAATCATTGTAAAACAGACAGCTCCAGCTTCAGCAATTTATATTTACACATGTATTTACACTATGTTTTTATATTGTATATTAAAAAGTAGGTAAGTTTTTGCTTACCGCTGTCACTGTTGTCATCAACCAGAATGATTTCCTTGAGCAGATGTGAAGGGGTGTGATTCACCACACTGTGTACAGATCGAAGGATCACAGACAGAGCTTCGTTTACAAAGATGAAAACCACGGCAATCTGGGGCAGATTGTTCAGATACTGTAGCTGATGGCACCTTGTAACAGAAGCCACACAAAAAAGGGATTATTTAGACCCAGATTTCCACTGAGTAAAAGTGGCTGGTTACTAAACTCTGCAAACAGCGAATGCCACGGAATATATAAAAGTAATATAATAATAATCTTTGCATTTGATATAGCGCTTTTCACGTCTTCTCGACGTCTCAAAGCACTTCACAGGATAGACTGTAAAGTGAATTGTCCGTGTGGGCGAAACGCGGCAGCCAATTGTGCACAGCAGCGTCCCACAAACAGTCGTGGATTGAAAATTACCAAATTTTTTTTGGTTTGTTTTGGAGGGATTATTATTATTATGAATGGTTACCCAGTAACTATCTGGTTACCCAATGACTATATGGTTACCCAGTGACTATATGGTTACCCAGTAACTATATGAATGGTTACCCAGTGACTATATGGTTACCCAGTGACTACATGAATTGTTACCCAGTGACTATATGAATGGTTACCCAGTGACTACATGAATGGTTACCCAGTGACTATATGGTTACCCAGTAACTATATGAATGGTTACCCAGTGACTGTATGAATGGTTACCCAATGGCAAAGGCACCTCCTGGTCAGCGCTAAGCCCAGTGACCTGGACACCAGCTCAAAACCATATCTCTGCTGTGTGAGTTGATCTATAATGGGATATTGCTAAAATTGGCCTCAGCGACCTGGTTATACGGAGTGAAATCAGCCAGGTTTCCAGCTCCTAGTGCCTGCTGGAGTGTGAACAGCGATGCGTGGAGATCGGGTATTGTTCCACACTCTGACAAGCCTCTGGTAGAAATCTTTGCTTCTTATCCTCCCCTTTATGGTTCTAGTTATAATCTTCAATTCCTGTCTCTTATCATTGAATCAGCACTCAGTAGAAATAGCCCCTCACCTCTCAAAATCTATTCATTAACCTTAACACCTCAATTGGAATAAAACTGGATTCAGTTTCTGACCTTCTGAAGTCGGTGTGAACTTAGAACTAGAATGTCTGTCTTGCCGTTTAGCTTATGACACGGAGTAAGTTATGCAGCTCACACAGGAGAGTGACTAGTGTGTCAGTCACTGTGCAGTGTTAATGCCAGGAGCCTGATGGGATCAAACAATATTAAGATGGAAATCTGAGAGTTCTTGCTTCATTACCTCCTAGATGAAGAGAAAGCCTCTTCCTTCGGTGGGAAGTTTAACCTTGGTTCATCAGAGGAAATGAGCTGGAGGAATTTAGGCCAGCACAACGTCCTCTGTTGGAATGGCTGGGTTATGGGGGTGGGGGGGGTTGCTCAGTGTAGAGAGATATGGGAGTCACAACCACGCTGATATTTACATTGATTTACATAGACTGTATCAGTCCCTGTGGTATTAAACTCCACATGACTGTCCCCCTACTCCTTACTGCTCCCTACAAACCTGCCCGCTCAACTCCGTTCATCGGGCTCCGGCCTGCTCCATGTCTCTCACCCTACCCGCTCTACCGTCGTCCCACCTCTCTGCCTTCCCTCACACCTATACCATCCCTCCTCCTCCATGCTTGGGCCCCAACACCAGCGCTTTGGGATGTCCTCCCGACGTGAAAGGCGCTCTATAAATGTTATTTTGTTGTTGTTGTTGTTTTTGTTGCTCTCCTACCCTCTGTTGCCTTGTCCCTCATATCAAGCCACTGAAGCAGGTCACGTCATGTACAGTATTTTTTAATAAGGCAGCAGAGATGAAGGTGTTTTGCCTTCACTGACAGGTTAGTGCCCTTCGAGGGGCTGCGAGTCCATGAGCAGGGTGTCTGAATCTGCAGAGTGCTTGATTCTGGTGGGGGAGAGATTAGGTCTTTGTCAGGTGTATCAAGTTAAATGTCCAACAGAAAAAAGCAGAAGTTAAAGGAAAGGACACGCAGGGCCTTTTGTAGGCTCGTATTCTGGTATCTATCGTCACTGGTGAAGGATGTAAAGGGGACTGTGTGTTGTTTGTCCAAATAAGGGAGCTTTTGTGATGGTTTGAGAAATTCAGCATACAATAGCAGTAGTTAGCAGAGATCATTCCCACCGGCTCTTGTTGAAAATTCAGGCAGTAGCACGGAGTTTCCTTTCAACCTCAAAGTAAAGCGTGCAAACACAGGAGATGGAGTAATGCAGACAACTGAATGAAAGAGGTTTTATTCAAACCTGAAGAGACATGCCAAAACCAACAGACCCTCTCCTTCCAGAGTGGAAAACACAGTCTGCCATTTAACAATGAATAGGCTAATTAATTCCAATTACTAAAGCTCAACGCCCCTGTAAGACTGTGTGTGTGTGTGTGTATGTGTTTGTTAGGAGTTGGGTTTGGATTTAGATTTAATGGTAACAGTAGTAGCAAACTGTGCCAGTCCTCCCAACTTTGTCCGAACCAATCATTTGATCTTAGAATCTGATCTGGATGCTGCCTCGCCCACCACTCCCAGCAGCACAATGCCGGGCAGTGAGATGCAGGTGTAAGATTCTAGTCAGAAGACAGTGAAAGGGAACAGAGCAGGGAAAGAGACCCACTTTGTAACCAATTCCCTGTGGGCTTGTCTGATTTTTGTTCCAATAATAAATCAAACGGAGGGTTATTATGGTGATTATAATTCTACACGCCACAATATAAAGCTGATTGTAAAGCAGAATTATTTTTCCGAGCTACTGGTCTGGCACTGCAATGTACAGAAAAGCACTGACCTAATTTCAGACCCTGTGTTCCAGTGTAGGAATCACAAGCAAAGCACATTCTTTCTTCCGGCTATCTGTCTCAAAAAGAAATTAATGGCGAAAGAACCACAGTGACTGAGGTGCTCAGCCATACGTCACTCATTTGCAGTGCTCTTTCTCTTACATTATATAGTTTTTTGAACCCAACTGCAGTTCAGCTGAGATTTGTGTAATTTTTTTGAGAGAAGACTGTGGGGTTTAAAATGAAGGGTTCATTAATACTGCTAGTCACCTTTGGGGCCACTGTAATACGACTTCCTGAGTTTCACTGTGTACGAGACCAGTGACTGAGCAGTCAGTGACACACACTAGGCCAGCCCAGGGCAAGAGCAGCAAAGCCTGGGCTGATGGGAGGCACTCAGCAACAGCAAGAATAATCATTCACAATACATCTTCCCAAACATCTCAGAATCTTGGATCCTGTGTTCGATCCCCTCTTAACCTTCGCTGTTCCAGTGAAATGAGACTCAATGGTTCAGGTCTCTCCTCAAAGCTATAGCCTCTCACCCTGGCATCATGGTGTGAACGTATGTTGCAGATTCTCCTTGCCTCCAATGTCATCCATTACCTCCTGTCTTTCCTTGGTTAATTTTTGCCCCAAAAGAATCCTCCTTCCTCACAGAGTCTTGTCAACAGTCTGATACTGCACACTTCTCTGTAGTGCTTATTTGGCAAGGAAAGGGTTAATGGCATTGGAGTATGAGAAACCATTCTTGGAAACATGTAGGAGCAAAACTCTTCAAATAACTATAATGAAGAGTGAGCGCAGTGAGGGATGAAGAGACAAAGTGAGACAGAGATGAAAGAGGGGAGAGAATAATTTATTTGACCTATTATACCTACCAATTTGTTACAATTCTTTCCCCCTGACAGTCAGCCTGAAGCAGACACACCCAACTCTCTGTGCCGCAATCTGCCAGCAAGTTTGGGCATTTATTTCAGTAACTCCCAGACACAGCTCGCCATGATTACAGAGGAGAACTCAACTGCACAGACTGGGGTACACACAGCACTAGTGGTGAGGACACTGAGGTACACACAGTCAGGGCTGGTGGTGAGGACACTGAGGTACAGTCAGGCTTGAGATAGTGCTGTGGAGGCACTGCAGACTGTTGCACAGAATCAGTACAATTCAAGTTACACTTTCTTAATTAAGACTCTTGAGTTCCACACAAAATAAAAACAAATCACTGCTGTGGCTGACAGACCAGTCAGACTAAGCTCTTCTTTTGTGTATCTAAACTCGCTGGGTGATGTCTTCAATGGGCTATTATTTTCTCCACTGAAGAATAGACTCATTAAACAGCACCACAAAGGCTTGATATTGCTCACAGGACCTAGGGGAGTTTTTTGAATGCTAACACTGCATTAGTTTGCTGGACTGCATTAATGTCTACACCAACTTGCATTCTGGTGAAACGCTCACTAATCTTGAATTAGTGACTGAAAATAAAAAGCTTGGTGTATTCCAAGCTTGCCTTTTGGAAATGAACAGTGAAAATTAGCATTAATATCTGATCCCGAGTAGGTTAATTTGATTTCAATGGTTTCATTCAATATTCAGGGAAGATAAAGAAGTACTTACAGAATCATTCTCCCGTAGGAGAGAATGATTAATGCATTAAAAACATAATATTTAAAAATTCAATACATATTCAATCGTGTCATTGGTAACTTCATTTTTTCACACAAAGGGTAGTGAAAATCTGGACCTCTCTCCCTCCCCTGAAAAGCTGTGATTGCTGGATCCTGCACATTTTCAAGACTGAGGTGGATAGATAGTTAGGTCAGGGTATCAAAGGATATGGGCTCAGGGGTGGGTAATTGGAATTGAGGTACAGATCAGCCATGATCTAATAGAAAGGCAGAACAGGCTCGAGGGGCTGAATGGCCACCTTCTGCTCCTATGTTCCTGACAAAGCAAAGTCTCAGCAGCCACTCTGAGTAAGATTTGCCGTTTGCCGTTTGAGAAATAATTGACAGGACATATAGTTACTGGCTGACAAGCTACAACAACAACAACAACAAGATTCCATTTATAAAGCGCCTTTCACGTCAGGAGGACGTCCCAAGGCGCTGTAATAGCTACAATCGTTATATTCCTAACCTCTGATACAACGAGAGACCAGGAAACAGAGGAGCGTGTATTATACATATTGCCGCGGGGGGGGGCACTGAAGCAGTAACCATGACAGATTACAGCGGGCTGGAACACTCATCTCACCTACTCTCCTCTGTCTGCCAAGTGGGGTCATAGTCTCACGATTAAGGGTCAGTCTTTTTGAACTGAGTTGAGGAAACATTTCTTCACTCAGAGGGTAGTGAATTTGTGGAATTCTCTACCCCAGAAGGCTGTGGATGCTCAGTCTTTGAACATATTTAAGACTGAGGTTGATAGATTTCTGAAGTATAGAGGGATTAAGGGATATGGGGATAGGGTGGGTAAATGGAATTAGGTTAGAAGATCAGCCATGATCTTATTGAACGGCGGGGCAGGCTCGAAGGGCCGAATGGCCCACTCCTGCTCCTAGGTCTGTACACACTTAACATCTTCCCCATCTGCGGATCAGGAGTGATTTGTCTCCTAATTGGGTCATGCAATCCACGACAATTTGTGGAACACTGCTGTGCGCAGTTGGTTGCTACATTTCACCCACAAACATACAGTCGATTCACTTTACAGTACATTCTGTGAAATGCATTGCGACGTCTCGAAGACTTGATAAGGCAATATTTCAAATGCACGGATTATTATTTTGACTTGTGTTTGAGTTTAAAGCCCTGGAGTTTAAGAGTCCAAAATGGCTGCACCGCATGGCTGATAGAAAACATAACAACTCCCCCCCAGTGCCAAACCAGCCGTGGTTATTAATAATTGTTAATGGTTAGTAATGGGAAGAAATACATTACTTACTTTTTTGGTCTGTAGTCTGGTATGGATCTGTCCAGAGAGATCCTGTCGCTGAGCTGAGCGTTATAGCCATAATCTTCATATTTTGTGTCAAACTCATGGCTGTCGTCCCTCAGAGTGGCAGCCATTCCTCCCTGACCCACTCCTCCTGGTCCTTCCACCAGCCCCATTGGCTTAGCAAGACCTAAACACAACAGCATGCACATGGGTTAGCCACTCACCATACTGAAGGATAACCAAGGGCTTGTCTGTAGCCATGGGGGAAAGAGAAGGATATAAAAGGGCAGAAACTGGGAAAGTGCAGGGTGTAGGGGGGAGCATTACAATCATTGGCTCCAGGTTGGAATCAGAGCCAAACAGCCTCCTGAGCTGTCATTTCTCTGATTTGTGAGGTCTGAAAACCAGCTCAGACTCTGTCTTCTCGCTTAACATTGTTTCTGTGCATCAGTGGGGCGTGAGGGGCTTTGGCTGAACACTTGAAGCTACACAGAAGAGTCAAATAATTAGTCAGAAAGCAGCAAGCACTTTAAAGCTATTTGGTGTTTGACTTGTAGTAAAGGTTTGTCCTTAGCTGGGCGTCAGCACTGCTTGTATCCTGAACCACAACACAACCAACTATAGCCAGCTCAGCCCAGCCCAGCAGCAGAGTGACTGCGGGCAGCAACGTGCAAACAAATCTCCAGACTGGCTCCCACTCCACCCAGTTAGCCACCGGTGACTGAGACCCTGACCAGAACATATCCATATTAAAAGTTGAATTGCAGTGATTTTCAGTTCACTTTGCTGTGTATTACACACGCACTCCCGGTTAGGTGTCAAGCTGCTTGATTTGATGTACAGTATTTTCAAAAGCTACAGAGGGTTTTTTGAAGGTAACTTCAGGGTTGTTGTCCTTGTAAATACCCAGAGAAATGGCCTCCTCCCCCTCTGGGTTCTGTCAGTCACACTGAGACAGCTCAGACATAACACGCAGTGCAAGTAAATTAATTTCTCCCAAATGCAACATAAATATAGTTATTTTTCTTTCACCTATGTTTACCTTGACCTTCAGTGTGTAGTGTGTCAACACAGCCATGCTCTACACTGGCCATCCCAATCTCAGCACAAACTGTTTCACTCTTGGCTCAGGAAGAACTACAACATTGTGTAAAGCTCTTAAATAGTTTCTGTACTATTTCCTTAACAACAGATTGTTTTGGAAAAAAAGGGCTAGATACCGCTATAGTTTTATTGTTGGTCTTTTCACTGTATGAATTTTCATAGACCTATCGCACTCTCACTCATGTGGTTTGGATACCTTTTGAGCACAGTGATGGCTTCCCCCACCCCCCGGTCTGTGCCAGACACCTGGTATGGGTGGGGGAAACAACACATGGGGTGGGGGATTGAGCTATCTGTGTTTGTCAGCCGCCTACACACAGAGCCCCTCTCCAGATAATAATACGTTTAAGGTTGTGGTGGTTTGAAGTCAGACTAACTCTGGCGCTTTGGCTGTGTGTTGAAGTTAATCTTCTGTGATCCAGGGTGAGGATTGCCAGCACTCATCCACTCCCCCCTACACCAACCTCCTCTCACATCCTCGCCAGTCCAGCGTAGCCTGGCCTCCATACACAATCCCCAGAGTGACCCTCACCCTCTCCAATCACTCAGGCACACACTGCACAGATCTACCCAACAGGGTAGATGGCATTAGTGGCACCTGAATAGGCACACATAGCACCTTGGATTCACCTATAGACCATATTTTGTCATGGTTAACCCAGCAGCTTGCCTGTCCTCAAAACAATATGCTGTTATCTTTACGTTTACCCATCACCCGAGGGGTGTGCTACAGACTGCACAATGCTCTTCCCCCACTCCATTGCCCCCAGCACTGCACTGCAGTGTCTGTCTGACTGAGCTCAGGCTTGGTGCAACTGCTAACACCTTTTTCTTTCAGTTCCTGTGAGAGAGCTGGTAGGACAGGCTTCACATCACCCAAAGTCAAAAAATAAATTGAGTATTACTGGGAGGGTTTCTGGTATGTGCTCGGCGATGTTTCTCATGTGTCTGGCATTTGTTTTGTGGGTACCTAGCGTGTGTTTTGTGGGTGCCTGGCGTGTGTTTGGCGTGTGTTCGGCGGGTGCCTGGCGAGTGTTTTGCATGCACTCTGTGATGGTGCTGGGTGGGTAAATGTAAAAATAACAGAATATATTTTCGGGGACAGGCAACCTACTGGGTTAAGTTTTACAAAATACAGTCAATCAGGAGAAATTCCAGGGTTGAGATGTGTCTGTGAGACATGGCATGGTCTGCCTGTGAGATGGTAGAAGGGCATATCTTCTATACACGGAGTGAGGGACGTATTGTCAGGCAATTCTGCAAACAGCAACACTGTCAAATGCAAAGGATAGGAACTCACTTTAGATAGCAAGGTTCTTTGTGATCATCAAGCATAAAGCTCCCATCTGTTTCACAACCATCCATCTTTATGTGAGAAACCTCATTTCCAATTGATATATTTAGCCTCAATGACATGCTGCCCCAGGTAACAACAAGCCCACATGCCAGAGCACATTAACATCAGTCTGTGTCAGTGTCAATGCCAATCTCAGTGTTTGTCCTTCAGTGAGTTTTATGAGGAATCCAACAATAAAAAGGTTACCAGCTGGCAAAATTCTAAACTTGTTACCTGAGAATTGCTCAGATGTGATGTGAGGAAACCTGGACACCAGATCATTGACAATTTATTTATAAAGTTTGTTGTTTGCAGGATAGCATTTCACAGCGCTTCTCAGTGGCTGCGTTAGATACTGAGCAAGGGGGAAGGGAGAAGACAAGGTGACCATAGGCACGGTCAAAGAGGTGTGTCTTCAGGTGGGATTTAAAAGATCACAAGTGTAGAAAGCATTTTGCATATAATATTGAAATTAATTTCCTACAAATCATTATCGTAAACTAATAGAAGTCTAGTGGCTCGTATCATGTTAAACAGAACAACAACCACTGGCAGTTAAGCCTTTGACTCACCAGCTATAACATGGGCCACATTCAATCTAATGTTCACTTCAAAAGGGACGGAATTTCACTTCAGGAAGATGTTAAAGATCCCACGCCACTACTCAAAAAGAGAAAGGAGTTTCTCCCAGTGTCCTGGCAACATTCTCCCAGATAAAACTGCTTGTTAGCATCAAGGTTGTTTCTGGGACATCACTGTAAGCACTGTGATCCAGACAGACACTGCTCGCTTTTACAGCCTCCAAACCCTGTGCCCACAGCACTTTGCTTCTGTTTGGTTATCTGGACTAATAGTGCTGACGGGAGATGTGAGTCGAGAGGAGAGAACGTGAAAGATATATTTCTCTAAAAATATGCAAATCTATTCAATACAGAGGCTGAATAGCAGGTGTAATTTACTGGAGGATAAACAGGTCGATTGAAGGAATTGAGATTGTTGCAGATTGACTGGTCAAAGCTCAATTACCAGGTACATTTCATCAGGTATCCAATACAGCTTCAATGTGAATTTAATGTTAGCACCGTGGCAAAGCGTTTCAATGTATTTGCAAAAGCGGATTAAACGGTCAATGGCAAACACCCCACACATGCCTAGCACAGCGCTGGGCCTCACGGTTACAGAATATCCCTCCCGCTCGGCACTGGGTGACCTGGTCACAGCCCAGAGAACAGTGTCTGGCTGCTGATCATTGTGCTGCAGGGCAATAATAATAATAGAATCCTTGGCATTTGATATCACGTTGTTGAGACGTCTCACAGCGCTTCACAGGATACACTGTAAAGTGCATTGACTGTGTATTTTGTGGCCAAATAAAATACGAATAATACTTGCCTTTCACAACAGGAGATTGGTTCAAAATCCTTCACAGGATTAACTGTAAAGTGTAGTGACTGTGGATCAAGCCCATCCTCTATTCAGCACATCACCTGATAATTACTCAATAATTACCCCTAAAATTCCCATTTCCAATCTTGTAATCCGCCCCGCTAATACCTGCCCCTATTACTCTGAATGCCTCTCTCACTCAGATATCAGTCTTGTCCAGGGATATTGTGTATAGCATATGGCATTCATGGAATGACATAAACATTGGCCATCAATAACTACACATCTTATGTTAATCCTATTGCACTGTGAGATTTCAAATGAAAGGCAGAAACACAGTACAAATCAGTGGTGTTCAATGGTATTCATTAGTCTAGCACATTTTGCATTCCAATCAAAATGCCGGAGTGTGATGTGAATCAGGATCTGCCGGGATTGTGTCAGGCCCGGAGTATATTGTATCAGAATTTGCATAACTTAACAATTCTTTATATCACACTGTGTCCAGATGATTGTCAGATAGACCACAACATACTTCTGACTGTTCAGGTTTGCATATGCGGGGGGGAAAGCTTCATTAAAAGCATGTGAGCACTTCATGACTGAAACAGCTTTGTCACAACCATAGTCAGGACTGAGTGCCAGCAGCTGAATCAATAGCCCCACACAGTCCAGCAGGGTTTGGATTACAAACAGACTGTCAGGAGAATGGATGATCTGCTCAGAGCGAGATAGACCCAGCTCCAGCTTTACCATCCTCTTACACTGTGTCCTGGCCTCAACCACCCATTCCAGTTGCTATTGCCCCATTTCTGTGTGACGAACTCTGCTTGCTTTACACATTCATCTGCAAGATACTCAGTCACTACACTTGACAGAAACTACAGCGAAGCACTTTGAGACATTTCGATGTGATAATCCCTCCAAAACAAAACAAAAATAAATTGGTCATTTTCAATCCACGACTGTTTGTGGGACACTGCTGTGCGCAATTGGCTGCCGCGCTTCGCCGACAAATATACGGTCAATTCACTTTACAGTCTATTCTGTGAAGCGCTTTGAGATGTCGAGAAGACATGAGAAGTGCTACATCAAATGCCAGGATTATTATCATTATTATTTTAAAAGCAAGGATTATGATAACATGTCTGCGATGTGTGACACAGTAAACATAATAAAATAATTGCATTTGATACAGTGCCTTATCATATTTTTTGAGACGTCGCAAAGCACTTCCCAGAATATACTGTAAAGTATAGTAACTGTGTATTTTGTGGGTGAAACATAGGGATCAGATGGCCGACCATAAAGGTGACCTTGTATTTGCCAATTTGCGGATCTCCTCCCTGACTCCTGTCTGGTTAGATATTTGTCTGATGCTTTGTAATTATTATAAGAGATTATTTAAAGGGTAGATGGACAGACTGACCAAACGCTAGATCTTGCAGACAGCAAGTGACTGGGAGGAGAAACTGGAAAAAGACAGGAAGACAAGCAGCATCTGTCACACAAACAGAGGCAGTCAGCCTGGGGAAATGGCAGGGAAAAGTCAGAATCAATATTGCTCACTTTCTCAGACACACAGTTCCCACACGTCTAACAGACAGTAATGGTCTCTTTATATTGGTTGTGATGCTGTCGAGGTATCAGTCTGCTCAGTAGTAGCGCTCTCACCTCTGAATCAGAAGGTTGTGGGTTCAAGTCCCGCATTGGGATTTTCAACTCATAGTCTAGTCTGCCACTCCGATGCAGTGATGGGGGTGTGCTGCATTGTCAAAAGTGGCGTCCTTTGGATGAGATGTTAAACCAAGCTCCCATCTCATCTGCGGCGCTGGAGAGAAGTGGGTTGTTGGCTGACAATTCCCCCAAATAGGATTGATCCTTCATTTCATGCCTGTTTGTGGGACGTTGCTGTTTGCCCACAAATGCACAGTCACTACACTTCACAGTAAAATCCTGTGAAACGCTTTGGACATCTCCACAATATAAGGCTCTATATCAAATGCAAGGATTATTATTTTATTAAAAAAAACAAATGAAAAATGCTTGTGAGAAGAAGGATTTCCAGAGGAGCCTTAAGATTCCAGAGAGCCTGCACTGTTCTGCTAAATAAATACGTGTCAAATTAGATTATAAAATCTATTCACATTCCTTTAGAATGTTGTTAGATTCCATCTTTCGGCACTCAAGGAAGAAAATCAATATTTGGGTGCATTATGAGGTGCTCTGAAGGTCTTTTTACAGTGGATTATTTGTGGGAGACAGGGTTTTTAATGTAAAGCAATAATGCGTGCCTACCCTGACCCTAGTACGTGTATAATAAATAATTACAATAAATAATCCTTACAATTGATATAGTGCCTTTCACATTGGGAGGATATCTCAAAGTGCTTCACAGAATCTCCTATAAAGTGCAGTGTCTATTTTTGTCGGTGACTGGCCACTCCCTGTGCAGCCGGCCAATCCTCACTGAACCACAGAAGGTGGTTCTCCAGTGAGGCGTCTTACAACACAATACAATACACCATTACATTTGTATAGCACAGAAGAGACTGACTGCCAGATGTTTATTAACCTCTGTACAGTTCAGCCACAAGGTCTTCCCAGAGGGTCAGGAGATACAATGGACTGATAGTCTAGAATTAATACACTAACCTAATCTCATTGCTCATCTCCATCAATGTTTCTTCTGGTGTAAAGAGTGAACGACAGCTGAATGTAAAAGCAAATGGAAGTGCTGTGTGTACGATAACGCAAGGGCCGGGTGGGGAGAGATGTGAGGCAGGTGGAGTGGGAGGTGGAGCAGGAAATCTGTGGGTCTGTGTAGCTTTATAATGTAAGTATGCACAAGGTTGGAGGACAGTGTTGGCCTCGGTTCTCATACAACCAGAGCATTCATGTCTGATCTGGATTTATGAATGAGCAATCCATTCAGTGAAACCTCCTTCTTCCCTATACTCCCCCTGCAAATTATTCACAGTGTACAGGGTGTTGATGAGGACACAGTTTTAGAGTGTCAAAAGACAAACTCCCGGTGTCCTGGCCAACAAATCCCCAGATAAAATTGGTCACTCATTCCATTGCTGTTTGTGGGACATTGCTACATGCAAATTGGCTGCCAAGTTTGCTGACAAAATACACAGCGACTGAATGTTACAGTAAATGCTGTCAAGTACTTGAGCCAAGCTCCTGAAGTGAAAGACATTGAACCAGGGATGATTGTTATTAGTACAGTATTACCTGTAGGTTACCACAGGCAGCAAGGCTTTACTGGCTGCCATGTAGGTTTAGCATATTGATGCCAGGCTATGGCAATACACCAGTTCCTGGAACACTCTTGAGTTTGCGGGAAATTATTGAGAGAGTAATGTTCCCATAACTGCTGATGTAGAATGATAGCACTGCCACAATTGCTCTCACTGCAATTTAATGGTCCAACTGATGGGATTCAGATTCTGCTGAGATATATGTTATTCAGCTGACATTACAACCAGCAAATTCTTACCACCCTGACATATCATCCTCTCTTTACTATTCGTCACGCCTTACAATATATAACAGCTTCCCAGGAAACACTGGAGTTTAATATAAATGCAGGTAAAATTGAGGAAACATGAAACGGCCAATATTGCAGCACGGGAACAAATCAGCCGTGAGTTTCCAGGTCACTGGCTTCCCGCAGGATCCCTTTTTACTCAAATTACAGGCTTGGCAAATACCATCATCACTCCCTAAGACACCTCTATCGACCATCCTCTCTGCTCAGCCCCTTCATGCCAGAAATCCAATAAGCTTTTTAAATCAAAACATGGAAATTGTAGGAAACCTTCAAAAAAATATCCAATGGCTTCCTGTATTGATCAAAGGCAATCTGCACACAGCAGCCCAGCTCATCGCATGCTAACTTGAAATATTAGCACAGGAGAATTTAAATAAGGTGAGAGGCACAAGGAAGCACTGAATGCAACTTGGTCATCTCAAAGAGCAAATAATTTAAATGCAATACAATAAAAAATTACACTTATATAGCGCCTTTCATATGGGGGGGGGGGTGTGGGCGCAAAATAAATGTGTGCAGAGAGGGTATCTTCCTGTTGAAAACTGAACCACTCTTCTCTGTTTCAAAGCCATGATAAGGCGCCTTATCAAACACAAGGATTATTAGTATTATTTTTTACATCGGAAAAAGCCAACACTAGAAAGGTTGAAAGGTGAATTCAGTCTGTAATAAACGGCTCGGGCAGGAATACTAATAACTGCTAAACTGGAATGTATCTGACATCCACATTTCAATGTCCGCTAATCGCAACCACCAATTATAGAGAGCAGCAGCAGTGGGAACTCACCGCTCACCTCAGCCACCGATTCACTTCAGTTCATCCAAAATGAGACCATAGCGATCATTCTCATATCTCCTCAAACAACAAACAGACGCCCTACAGTGCAGCCTCGCGGATTCCCAGCGGACATGACATTAACACAGCCCACGGGCTGCTCTCTCGCTGTGTTTAACTTCAAACGCATCAAAAGCTAAATACCGGTCTTTAAAACTGGTGCCTGAATGCGGGTAAACGGTCACCACTTGTTCCCCAGTGACTGGGCACAGGATGTGGGTACAGAGCCCAGAGCTGTGCTGATTATCACAGCCGTGTGTGGGAGTTAACTGCTCACTCCTGACTCATTGCTCTGTATATCTGCACATTTATTATTATTTTCAAATCGTTGGAGGTCAGAACAAGTGCAGGAAAGCAAAGCACAGCGAGCGATCAACAGCCTCAGACACAGGCACAGCCTCAGACACAGCCACAGACACAGCCTCAGGCACAGACACAGCCTCAGGCACAGACACAGCCTCAGACACAGGCACAGCCTCAGACACAGCCTCAGACACAGCCTCAGACACAGCCTCAGACACAGCCTCAGACACAGCCACAGCCTCAGACACAGCCACAGCCTCAGACACAGACACAGCCACAGCCTCAGACACAGCCACAGCCTCAGACACAGCCTCAGACACAGCCACAGCCTCAGACACAGCCACAGCCTCAGACACAGCCACAGCCTCAGACACAGCCTCAGACACAGCCTCAGACACAGCCTCAGACACAGACACAGCCTCAGACACAGACACAGCCTCAGACTCGCTCACCAGCAAAACTTGTTGTAGTTACAATAAAATCCCGGCTTCCGAACACCCCAACCCCACAACACCCCCAGCCCCCCAGTGTCAGCCTGTGCCCCCACAACACCCCCAGCCCCCCAGTGTCAGCCTGTGCCCCCACAACACCCCCAGCCCCCCAGTGTCAGCCTGTGCCCCCACAACACCCCCAGCCCCCCAGTGTCAGCCTGTGCCCCCACAACACCCCCAGCCCCCCAGTGTCAGCCTGTGCCCCACAACATACACATGAGAACCCACCCGAGCACACGGGGCACAGAGACAGAGACGGGTTACCATTGAGTTGGCTGTAGACCACCTCCTCCAGGGAGTCCAGTCGGTGTAGAATGGCCTCTCTGTCCCCCAGGGGCCGCTCCCGGCCCCCGGCTCTCAGCTCCTGCTCGGCGGTGCGGACTATTTGGCTGAGCTCCTCTGAGCGCTCGGCGAGACGGCAATACACAGAGAACAGCACTATCCCCAGAAACACCGCGATGTTCACCGTCAGCAGCGTCTTAATCCTCCGGGCGGGAGCCATGGGCTTCAGCAGCGGCCACAGCGCGGCGGCATCGCGCCCCCTCCTCACTCCCTCTCTCCTCCCTCTCTCCTCACTCCCCCTCCTCACTCCCTCTCTCCTCCCTCCCCCTCCTCACTCCCTCTCTCCTCTCTACCCTCCTCCCTCCCCCTTCCTCGCTCACTCTCTCCTCTCTACCCTCCCCCTTCCTCCCTCACTCTCTCCTCTCTACCCTCCTCCCTCCCCCCTTCCTCACTCACTCTCTCTCTCCTCTACCCTCTGACCGGCCCCAGATCCACACCGCTCCCTTCCTCCCTGTCTTCTTCCTCCGTCAGTCTCTCACTCTCTCCTCTCTCCTCTCTCACTATGTCTCTGTGGCTGTGTGAGCGCCGCCCACTGTCAGTGCCGCGCCGGTGGCTATCAGTGAGGCTGGGGCTGTGGCTGGGGAGGGGGCTGAGCAGGGGCTGGGGAGGGGGCTGAGCTGGGGCTGGGGAGGGGCTGAGCTGGGGCTGGGGAGGGGGCTGAGTTGGGGAGGGGGCTGAGCTGGGGAGGGGGCTGAGCTGGGGCTGGGGAGGGGGCTGAGTTGGGGCTGGGGAGGGGGCTGAGCTGGGGCTGGGGAGGTGGCTGAGCTGGGGAGGGGGCTGAGCTGGGGAGGGGGCTGAGCTGGGGAGGGGCTGAGCTGAGGAGGGGGCTGAGCTGGGGAGGGGGCTGAGCTGGGGAGGGGGCTGAGCTGGGGAGGGGGCTGAGCTGGGGAGGGGGCTGAGCTGGGGAGGGGGCTGAGCTGGGGAGGGGCTGAGCTGGGGAGGGGGCTGAGCTGGGGAGGGGGCTGAGCTGGGGCTGGGGAGGGGGCTGAGCTGGGGAGGGGGCTGAGCTGGGGAGGGGGCTGAGCTGGGGCTGGGGAGGGGGCTGGAGGTGTAGGAGCTGCGAACCCTTCCCCGGCCACACATCAGCCGCCAGTCTGCGCAGCCCCGGCCATCTGTGACGCGACCAACTCACTGTACACACACAGTCATTACACTGTACACACACACTGTATACACACATTGTACATACACTGTACACACACACACTGTCCTCTCACACACTATACACACACTGTATACACACACACTGTATACACACTGTCCACACACTTTCCACACACACTTCTCACACACACACTGTATACACACTGTCCACACACATTGTACACACACACACACACTGTACACACACTGTCCACACACACTGTTCACACACATACTGTATATACGCTGTTCACACACACTATATACACACATACGCTGTATACATACACACTGTATACACAAACTGCATACACATACACTGTATACACACACAGTATACACACTGTATACACACTGTATACACACACTGTATACACATACACACTGCTGTCTTGTACTGTGCTATGTTGTCTGTGCTGTGTTGAACTTTGCTGTGTTGTCTGTGCTGTGTTGTACAGTGCTGTGTTGTCTGTGCTGTGTTGTACGGTGCTGTATTATCTGTGCTGTGTTGTACGGTGCCATGTTGTCTGTGCTGTGTTGTCTGTGCTGTGTTGTACGGTGCCATGTTGTCTGTGCTGTGTTGTCTGTGCTGTGTTGTCTGTGCTGTGTTGTATGGTGCTGTATTGTCTGTGCTGTGTTTTACAGTGCTATGTTGTCTGTGCTATGTTGTCTGTGCTGTGTTGTACTTTGCCATGCTGCACAGTACTGTGCTCTGCCGTGCTGTGCTGTACCGTGCCTGTGCTGTACAGTGCTGTGCTGTAGCATGCTATGCTGTACTGTGCTTGTACTGTACCATGCTGTGCTGTGCTGTACAGTGCTGTGCTATACAGTGCTGTGCTATACAGTGCTGTGCTGTACAGTGCTGTGCTGTACCGTGCTGTGCTGTGCTGTACCGTGCTGTGCTGTACAGTGCTGTGCTGTACAGTGCTGTATTGTACAGTGCTGTACAGTGCTGTGCTGAACAGTGCTGTATTGTACAGTGCTGTGCTGTACAGTGCTGTGCTGAACAGTGCTGTGCTGTACAGTGCTGTATTGTACAGTGCTGTGCTGTACAGTGCTGTGCTATACAGTGCTGTGCTGTACAGTGCTGTGCTGTACAGTGCTCTATTGTAGAGTGCTGTGCTGTACAGTGCTGTGCTATACAGTGCTGTGCTGTACAGTGCTATGCTGTACAGTGCTGATCACAGAGAGAGAGAGCATCCGAACTGATCTCAGAGGTGCCACCCTCCACTCTCACCCTCTGTGAGGCGTGGAGCTGAGTGCACACTGAGGATCACAGGCGTGCTCTGAACCCCCCCTCCCAGGATCATGTAGCTATGGGTGGGGCACTGACCACTGAGCCGAGGGCAAACATGTTTATTATGAAGATAAATAAGCTTAGTCCAGCCTGGGTGTCCAACGCTGGGGTTTGAGCTCAGGCTGAAATGTGCCCTCGACTCTGAGCCCAGACACCATCGGTGCCATTTCACTTGTGTGATTAGGGTGAGGATTCCAAATTCATCCATATTAAACCTCTCTCCTCAGTTCAGCTCTCCGCTCTCCTGTTATTCACCTGTTATTCTGAGATTGTAGTTTTATTAAAGTCGGGGTCGGTATAGAATTGTGCCATTGCCGCAGAGTCAGGCAGGTGTCAGGCAACAGTGACAAGATTCTCTACAGTGTTGCAGGCAATCATCTAGCAAAGTTTTGACTGAAAGGAATGGTTAATTGGGCCACCTTTTATTCATTATTGTATTCCACTCAGTGTGTAAATCCAGCAAATGGCTTATATCACTCATCCAAATACCAGGCACAACCATAATGCATTTTGACATCTTTTATTCTTCATAAAAGCAGCAGCGATGAAGGCCAAACCACAGGCCCCAGCGAACAGCAGCGAGTGTGAGAGAGAGTGAAGAAATTGCCCTTCACATGGGAGTTATTCTCTGTCTGTCACTGACCTCACCTCTCGCCTCTCACAATGGAAGCTAACTTTACTGAAGAGAAGCCAACAAGAAAGGCTGTGACCCCAGCCCGCTTTGTGTCTGGTAGTCCTCCCATTGATGCAGCACCTTATCACGTCGTCCCGATGTCTCAAAGAACTTCACAGGGTTTTACTGTAAAGTGTAGTGACTGTGTATTTCGCAGGGGGACGCAGCCATGCTTGCTACAGCTCTCTGCTGCTGTGGTTGGTCTCAAGCCCTGATGTGACTTTACAGATCACTTTTAAATAATGTAATGTCAGCAGCGTCAGGGACTGTGGCTGTCACCACGTTGCTGTCAGTGTGAGGTGATGTGTGAATGACACAGTGAGTGGCAGTGAGCGAGTCCCTACATTACAAACCATGACTGACTGATTATCAATAGCTGCTGGAGGTTTCCACGGCCAATGGCAAACTGTGACAGCAATGTGTAACATCAGGTACACAGCAGCCAAACACCCCAACTCCCATTCCTTCTGTTTGATCGAATTCAGCCTGAGAAGCTGCAGGACATGCAAAAGCCATTCACTGTACTGCCCCTCCACACAAACCCCAACCACACACCCTACACACACACACACACACCACAAATACACACACACCACATACAGAAACAACAACAATAATAATAATAATAATCCTTGCATTTGATATAGCGCTTTTCACGTCCGGAGGACGTCCCAAAGCGCTGGACAGTTGGGTCAGGACCCGAGCATTGGGGGGAAATGGTCAGTGTGAGGGGAGGGAAGGGAGGGAGCGAGGAGGGGGGAGATGGTCAGGGTGAGGGAAGGGAGGGAGCGAGGAGGGGGGAAATGGTCAGGGTGAGGGGAGGGAAGGGAGGGGGCGAGGAGGGTGTAGAGAGCCGAGAGGGGAGCTGAAGGCTGAATGTCGAAGAGAAAGGTCTTGAGACCGGCCTTGAAGGAGGAAAGGGAGGAAGCGGCGAAGGCACTGGGGGATGGAGTTCCAGAGCCTCGGGGCTGAGAGGCTGAAGGCTCGGCCACCGATGTTGGGGCGGGGGATGTGGAGCAGACCGGAGCCAGAGGAACGGAGGGTACGGGCGAGTAGATAGGGGGATAGTAGGTCGGAGAGGTAGGGGGGAGCGAGGCCGTGAATGGCCTTGTAGGTGAGGATGAGGATCTTGAATTCGCACACCACACACACACCACAAATAAACACATATACACACACACCACTCACAGAAACACACCTACCACACACACACACACACCACAAACACACACACCAACACATACACCACATGCAAACACACACACCCCAACCACACACCACACACACAAACACACACACACCAACACATATACACCACACACAAACACACATCATTGAGCCCGTGTGATTGTGAGAGCAGCTCAGACATGATGGGTCGAATCCTCTCTTCCTGTGCTGTACATATCCATGGTTTCTCTGGAATAATTAATGCTTTTTTTTAAATGGAAAAAAAATGAACAAATTACTGATTTGACAAATTTGTGATGTGAATGTTAAGCCAACGAGAGAAGATTGTATAGGGCAGAACCCAGCAGCCAGGCCAAGTCAGAGGGTGTGAAACAAGCAGATAGAAAGCCATTTAACGATGGTCGTGAGCTGGCGAATACATTACCCTGTTTACTGATGACTGTTTAATGATCTGTAATGAGCTCTTTAAGTACAAGAGATTCACGTTTAATGCGTCATTGAAAATAATGAGGAAATTGTGTTCGAGCAGGACAGATAGTTATTAAGGTGAAGCGCGCACTAACAATAACTCACAGCTCTGCAATGTGACGAATACCATTTTTGTCAAAAACTATTGTGATGAGAATGACTTTGGGTGGCTAAAGCTAAAGACAGTGCAAGCAGGACCTTCCTGGCCCAGTGTGAGCCCCTCAGGGCAGCTTGATTTATCATTCAGCCAATTGAATGTTACAGGGAACTGCGGAGTGAGGAAAAGATCAGGTAATTAAGGCGAGGAATGAAAGCTCTAACTAGTCATAAATCAACTGTCTGTAGTGGAATAAAGTGAGGAACAGACGTGAAAGTGAACCAGGGAGCAGCTTTATTGCCTGTTAATTACTCTGGGCTAATGAACAATTTCTTTCACACTTTCACCGCGACTCAGATATTAACTCACTGCCAG